CAATATAGTGATTCAACAATTCTGTATATTACCCAGTGCTCATCCTGATAAGTGAAGTCTTGATGCCCGTCATCTATTTCACCCATCCCCCCACCCACCTGCCCTCTGATAACCATCACTTTGTTCTCTATAGTTGAGTCTATTTTTTAATTTGTTCCTTCTGTTTTGTTTCTTAAATTCCACACTTGAGTGAAATCATATGGTAGTTGTCTTTCTCCGACTGACGTTTCATTTACTGTACCCTCTAAATTAATCCATGTTGCTGTAAATGACAAGATTTCATTCTTTTTTATGGCTGAGTAATATTCCATTGTATCTATATATGCCACATCTTCCATCTATTGATGGATACTCGGAAACCCTACCTCTTTGGCTTGTGTTGCTCCTTCAGGGCTGAATCTTTCTTAAAAAAAAAAAAGTTTCTCCTTCTCCACCGGATCCTTAAGATGCTGGTGTTTTCTGAGTTCTTTCCTCTGTCCACACCTTTCTTCTCTCTCTGCACGATCTCTCCTCCTCCCCATATCCCTCACTTCCACCCTGACACCTCCCCCATCCACATGTCTTTCCCCAGTTCAGGGTGTTCAGGGCAACCCCAGACTGAACTCAACCTCTTCCTTCTTTAAATCTCGTTTTCCTCCTCATCCTTCCATCCAGTTGCCCAGTAGAAACCTGGGTGTTTTTGTTGCTTCCCTAAGTGGCACCAAGTGCCAGCCGTGAGTTGCCCCGTGCTGGTCATTGGGGATGCAGCAGTGTGCAAACACGGGAGGGCCCGCTATGCTTGCTGCTGGTGGGAGACACACATATCGATCCATGATTCGTCCTAGGAAGGTAACAAACTGGGATCCTAATTTTGATTGGAAAGACTTCCCTGGGGAAGGACATTTCAACTGAGATCTGAAGAATGATGAAGCATCATTAGGCAGATCGGGGCTGGGGAGCATTGTAGGCAAAGTGAAGAGCTTGTCCAAGGGCTTTCTGGTGAAAAGAAAAACGTTTAAGGAGTGGAAAGGCAATGGGCAGAAGGGCAGAGAAGGTGGTGGAATGTTGTGTCGGGTGAGGCTGGGGAGCCAGACAGGGGCTGGATGGTGCATGGCCAGGAAGGTGGGGGGTTACTATCAGTCTTTCTAGGCTCCTCCTTGCAGCTTATACCCACCCCTTTTCACCAGATTCCTTCTCTTTAACCCCTCTCCCATCCTGAAATCCTCATTGTTCACACATAGAAAATTAAAATAGCCTCTTGCCACCTTCAAATCCATCTTCTGTACTGTAGTCTTAAGTGGGATTTCCAAAATGTAAATCTGAGTAAGTCGGTCCTCAGGCTACAATCCTCCCCTGGCTCCCTATTTTCAGGACCAAGTCCTGCCCAGCTTTCTGGCTTGTTAGCTCCCTCACGCCACCCCTCCCCCCACCTTCCTGCGGGCTGTTCCCAAAGTTAGGCAGCCTGCGCTTTGGTGCCTGAGTGCCCTTGCCTCCTTTGTCTGTATGGTGATACTATGCTACCTTGCAGGCCACAGCTCACCCACAGCCTCCAGGAAGCCAATCCCCCACTCCGAGGCCGCTATGCTGGCCCCGCCTCCTGCCCGCGCGCATGCGCACACTACATTTGTTCCACCTCCCTCTTTGCATGTGGATGTGTACATCTTCTCTGCCAGACTTTGAACTCCTGGCGGGTGGGGACTGTGGCTCCTTTACCTTTGTCCTTCTCATGCCACAGGGCTGGACACATATTGGATGCTAAATACACGTTGTCTTGAAGACCTGGTGATGAAGGAATACCATGGTATAAGCAGGTGGTGAAAAATGACACTCCATCAGGAGAGCCCTGTGTATAGGGACGAGGGTTAGGAGGCCAGGTTTCCATGATCTCCACGTACTGTCTGTTTCTGTTTCTTCAAATGACCAAGCTCAAGTCTCACTGTCCCCGCCTGCCACTTCTATCCATTCCAAAGGGCAGGTGCACCAGGGTGGGCAGAGTCAAGCCTAAATATAGTCAATCTTCTAGCAGAGTGGTTCTTAGACTATAGAGTGTACCAGAATCACCTGGAGCGCTTGTTGAAGCAGAGATTTCTGGCTGCACCCCAGAGTTTCTGATTCAGTAGGTCTGGGGTGGAGCCCAAGAATATGCATCTCTAACAACTTCCCAGGTGATGCTGATGGTGCTGGTCTGGGGACTACTCCTTGAGAATTTCTTTTCCAGCAAAAGGATTTGCTATAAAAATAATTACTCTCTATGGTGTTGGGAAAGGAGATACAGGAAGCTTTTTGCTTGGGTTTGGTTCTATAGGTTTAAAGACCTATTAGTATGAGATTAATGTGGATAGGTGGATCAGATTCTACACGCTTCCCTCCTCCCCCATCTCCTGGCTTTCCCACAAAGTGTTTCCGTGTTCATTCATCAGCTATTCAACGAATATGTTTTGAAGGTGTAATACGTGCATGGCAACATATGAGGCAGAGTTGTTGCTGTTAAGATGAAATTAGTATGAAACCGTCCTGAAGAGAAGTCCTCTGGTATAGACGTAACTATAATTCAAGAGATCAAAGAAGAAATGCCCACTCAGATGGGTGGTTCTTTGCCCAATCAGCGGAATTGTCCCAGGCATCTAGTTTTAGTGGGGATAAAACAATTTTATAGTGAGACCACATGACTGTGAAGATCCTGAAATTCTGGGGGCACCTGAGTGGTTCAGTCGGTTAAGCGTCTGACTTCAGCTCAGGTCAGGATCTCATATGGGCTTGAGCCCCATGTCGGGCTCTGTACTGACAACTCAGAGCCTCTGGAGCCTGCTTCAGGTTTTGTGTCTCCCTTTCTCTCTGTCCCTCCCGGGCTCGTGCTCTGTCTCTCTCTCTCAAACATAAATTAACGTTAAAAAAAAAAAAAAGATCCTGAAATTCTGTGATTAAGGAAGACAGTGATAATTGACACAACATGGCACAAATGCTGTGGAATTTGTAGCAAGGAGTCCCCAGAGTCAGCTGAGGCCTCCTCATGTAAATACTGATACTATTGTCCTTGTTTTTAATAAACATGTATTCTTCACCAACAGTGCTTGGTTACTTAGTGGATTTCTATCCGATGACCCCATAATTTGCTGTTTATTGACCTCAGATCATTGAAAAGGTTGAATAGAAAAAGCCACAAGCAGGCCCAGAGTGCGCCTCGGGGCCTCTTTAGGTCCCATTGCCTGTGTCAAATGGAATTGAGATGTGTGGTGTCATTTTATTTATTTTTTTGAAATATTTACGAGAGACAGAGAGGTGGGGGGAGGGAGAGGGAGAATGTAACTAGCCAATTGTAGCACTTGAATTTATAGTTAGGTCACCATATAATACAGGTCACCAACTTGAATTTCAGACTCTCACCTTTTTAAGAAAGTCCAACCAATTGCTGAATTCCATTGTATGAGGTTAAGGGTCAAAGTCCCTCTTTTAGGAGGGTCGAGCACTTAAGATGTGGCAGACCAAGCCGAAGCCCCTAGCCCCTCGCTACCATTAATTGAGCATCTGCTATGTGCTGGATACTGAGATACTTTACATACATTATTTATAATCCTTCAAGGTAAGTAGTACTATTATCATCTTCAGATAAGAAAAAAGGCACAGAGAGATTATGTATCTTGTCCAATTTCACACAGCAACAAACCTCAATTCATTTTTGGAAGTCAGCATAACCATAAAATTGAAACACGGTAGAAGATAGGTCAAAAATTATAGATCTCATCTCGTCTGAGTATAGATCAAAAATGCAAGATTAGAAAATAGAATGCAGCGGTATATCAAATAGATAATACACTCTCATTCTAGGAATACAAGAATGGTTCAATAATAGGAAACATTAGGAAATCAACAGAATTCACCATATCAACAAACTGAAGGAGAGGCGTATACTAGTAGATGCTGAAAGGGTGGCTGATCAAATTCTCCTGTAATAAAACTCTAAAACAGGAATAAGAGGAACTACCTAAATTTGATAAAGACTAAAAATTGGCCACATGTGTCATTGTAAACAGTGAACCACTAAATCCAACTTTGTTAAAAGTGACGGTGGTCTATTGTTAAGTTATTTAGCTGGACTTCTGCTTCTCAAGTACTGGGCAGCCAACCAATGGAAGTACACCTCTCTTCTTCTGGGCCCCACGATGCCGTATTTATGTTGCTTGGTGCCTTTGTCTCAGACTGTCCATGTGAGAGGTAGTGCTTGCGAGGACGCATTCCTAGATTTTGGGGCTCAGAGACTTCCTGGGGCTTCAAGAGCACAAGCTCTCAGATGCCACCTCTACCAATGATGCCTTGGCCTTGTGGTTTTCATGGCGGAAGTGGAATGTGGTTTTCTGGCACAAAATCACTGCACGATACATCAAAAATATCCATATAAAGCTTTTGTACTTTACAGAGTTTGCCACAGCGTAGTGGAAGGAGTACTGCATGGGAATCCAGGAGACCTGGGTTTCTAGTGGCTCTGCCACAACCAGTTATGCGTTCCCAGCCAAATCATTTAGTCTTGCTGGGCCTCACTTGCCTCATCTGTGCCATGGGATGCTGGACTGGATGGACTACCAGTGCTCTTTGACCTCAAAGTTATAATAATCATAGACCTTACCATGTGCCTGGCACTGTTGTAAGTGGTCTGCATAGAGGTTAACTCATCACAGCAACTCTATGAGTTCAGTACTATTATGATTCCCATTTTGCCTCTGAAGAAACTGAGGCACAGAGAGCGTGAATGACTTGACCAGGGTCTCACAGATAGGAAATGATGGAGCTCTTAAATAGTTCAACTTCCATCCTTTACTTCTCTGGTTTTTCTTTACCTGGGCCCATGTTGTTCATTGTGGTGTTTGTTTTGTCCAGCGGAGTTAAGGTTGTTTGAGGGTGGGAGACGCTTTTTAAGGGAAACCCAGCTCTGGGGTAGATGGATGGGAGTCACTGCCTGGGAGAATGATGGCGATGGCTGCAGAGGTTGCTAATATTTTTCCCTCTTCTCCTCTTTTCCTGTCTAGTCTGTGGCAAGCGCTACAAGAACCGGCCAGGACTCAGCTACCACTACGCTCACACTCACCTGGCCAGTGAGGAGGGGGATGAGGCTCAAGACCAGGAGACCCGGTCCCCGCCTAACCACAGAAATGAGAACCACAGACGTGAGTTCCCAGTTGTTGGCTGGGGTAGTGATGAAGTGGGGTGGGGCAGTGATGAATTGGGTGGGCAGGGCTGTAGAGTGTTCTCTTCACCTCTGGTATCTTTGGTGGCACCCGCTGATTGGTTTCAGTGTCCTGTGGTGACTTGGCTGTTTTAGCCCAGCCCCAGCTACCCCATGGGCCATCTAAGCCCCAGGTTTAGAGTAAGCTGGGCCGGATGACGCACCCAGTTCTGTTCCCAGAGGAAGGAGATGAGCGTTAAGGTACAAGGGAAACATCCTCACCTGGCCATTGTCAAATGCCAGACCTATCCCTCTTTTCCCTCAGCTCCAGAAGTTTCGTTCACAGATACCACCCTGACTTGGGCATAGCCCTTGGGTATGTCAATTCAGATGGACATTCTAAACGTCTCCTTGGCCACCAGGAGATGTGGGATAGTCTTGATTTATTGCCTTGGCTGTTATGAGGGTCACAATTTTGGTTCAGGGCTCTCCGGTCTTAGAAAAATAGGACCCTTGAGTATGCTTTCCTTGAGCACTCCATTAGGACGCATAATCTGGGGACGCTTGTCAAAAACTCAAAATGGGGTGGCATGATGGAATCTTTAGGACTTGCTTCAAGATATGGGTCATTCTAAGATCATTAGGTGAAGAATAATCGTGGACATGCCATGTATTTTGTATTTTGTTCACAAGATTTTGTGGTAGGTGGTCTTAAAGTGAACAATTCAATGTAATTAAAGGGATCAGACCTTTAAAAATATCCAGACTCTAGGATCTGAAGGTGACTCCTGTGCATTTTAGTCAATCAACTTAGTCAACAGATGTCCATCAGCTGCCTTCACCAAATATTTGAACTAATTAACATACTTTGGCCAAGACCTTTCTTCGGATTCATGTTGGTTTTGCCTAACCCTCACCCTCCTTTCTTCCTGTAACATGGCCTTCTGTATTAGTTTGCTCAGGCTGCCGTAACAAAATACCACAGACTGGGTGGCTTAAGGAACAGAAATTAATTTTCTCGCTCTTCTGGAGGCTGCAAGTCCCAGATCAACGTGTCATCAGGACTGGTTCCCACATAGGCCTCTCTCCTTGGCTTGCAAGTGTCTGCCCTCTCGCCCCCTCTTCACGTGGTGGCCCCTCTGTGTTCCTGTACCCCTGCTGTCTCTTTGTGTGCCCAAATTTCTTCTTGTAAGGATACCAGTCAGATTGAATTAGGGCCCACCCTAACTTGATCACCTCTTTAAAGGCCCTCTCCTTGAATATAGTCCTATTCTGAAGCATGAGGAGGTGGGAGTTAGGGCTTCAACAGATGCATTTTGGGGGACCCAATTCAGCCCGTACGCCTTCTTTAATTCTTACTCATTTGCAAGATTCAAGTCTTTCATGCATGTGACCGACCTTTATTTTCTTACCTGCTGTTGTCATCTGGATAGAACCTGGAAAACCCGGCATGAGTGTCTGACGGAGCGTCTCCCCTTGCCAGCTTCTGAGTAATGCTTAGCGCGCTCTCTCTCTCTCTCTCTCTCTTTCTCTCTCTCTCTCTCTCTCTCTCCTCCCCAGGGAGAGGTTCCCTTGGTCCAGTCACACTCATCTTTCAGAGAGGAACATGCATAGGGCAGCTGGCATTTGCGTCTCCCTGTCTCTCCTCTTATCCCTTCTCTGATCTAAGTGGCCCAGGCGTACCTATTGTCTCCTACCGCAAGGAGGCCAAGAATGAGCTCTTTCGATTTGGGTCGCTATCTGGAAAGTATTTATTAGCCACAGTTGCTCTCTCTGAAGTATTTGTTAACTTGGTATTATTTCCCACTCCCCCCAGCGCTGGCTTATCTTCTTGACATCCCTTCTCAAATGTCAAGCCATTTTGTCCTTGTGTTGTGGTTTTTTTACTCACGCTCTAGGGTTCGGAATGCTTCTCTTTTGTCTGCGTCTCTTTTGTGTGTGTGTGCATGGTGATGGCAACAGCGGAGGAAGGTTCCTCGTGGTCCCCCCAGGTACGCTGCAGGCCCTGAGTGGATCAAGGAAATCTCTTCCTTAGCTGTCCCTGCCATCTCCCCGATGCCCCCACTTGCTCGCTGTTGACTTCCAAGATGGGCACTGCCATAGTTTCCTCTGTCCACCAGGATCTCCTCATGTACTCTTGTGAGTCGGTGTCTTCTGTCTCCTCCTGTCCTCTCTGAGAGGCCAGATGGCCATGCTTGGTCAGGAAGCTGAGTCTTTCCTCCTCCTAGATGGAGATGTGTCCACAGTCTGGCTGTGCGTTCTCTCTGTGGGCTTGTCCCTAGGCTCATCTGGGGCCTCCTTACACGAGGAAGGTTCCAGAACCACAAACACCTTTTCAACAACATCTCTTCACAATGCCTCTGAGAATTCCGTGATTAAATCCAGTTTTGCTAGCGAGGAGGAGGAGGAGGGTGTGGCGGGAAGGTCCCTACTGTCCACAGAAGCCATCCCTTCCCTCTTGTCCAATTTCTCTGAAGAAATCTAAGAGGCAGCAGCTCTTCCCAGGTTCTTTGCACCACGCACGCCACCAATCTGTTTGCTGCTCCTAATGTCTGCTCTGTTCCCTCCCACATTCCCCTGGTGAGCAGCCCCCCAACCACTTTCCCGTGAGCACTAATTGCCAGCATCGTTAATACCCAGTCATTAGCTGCTCCCACTGTTTGGGGGTGGGGGTGGGCTCCCATCCATCCTGCCCCTAAATGCCACTGGGGCTGTGTGGTGAATTGAACGTGACAGTGTCTGAGGTCTCAGCTTTGTGATCCTCCCTTGGTGAGGCTTTTGGAGTGGGGGAGGGAGGCAGGAGAGTTTAATCCAAGAGGCTAATCTGCAGATCCCCCAGGAAAAGTTCTGGATGCCAACGAAGTGGGAATGCTGACTTTTCCCTCTTTAGCAGAACTGCAGGGTGGCCCAGCTGCTTGTGAGCACACACAGGCCTGTGGGGAAAACAGCCCTACAGACTCCGGAGTTTTCTGTGGCATGGGCATCTGCGTTTGTACCACCTGCAGCGGTAGAGACCTTTTGACTTTGGTCCACCTGCCGTCCCTTGCCGCACCCCCTGACTGTGTCTCCAGCCAAGCCATTGCTCATGCCTGTGCCTGCCGCTGCTGAAAGGGCAGAGCGGAGTGCTGGAGCCAGCACTGACCTCCCCTCACCCCCCAGCCCCCAGCTGCCCTGTGCTGCCAGCTCAGCAATTGACTGCCCCCCACCCCCCACCGGCTGATGTTCTCTCGCCTTTGTTCCTCTCCTAGCCGCTCATTTTCTCCTGAGTATACACTTCTTGTCTCTTCTCTAGGTTTGTCCCCTTTCCTTCATGCCTTTGTCTCTCTGCCCCAACTATAGGTAGCCCTGAGATGCTTGGAGCTCCAACATTCACCTTGGCACGTAGTACTTTTCTGTTGGGGTCTTCCCCGCCTAAGCGGCCCCCCCCTTCCCCTCCCCATGTGAGGCTGGATTCTTCTTTCTTCTTGCATTTCTTTGATCACCCCCGTCTGCTTTCTAAAACCGAGATCACTGTGTGTATGTATGTGTGTGTGCACATATGTGCGTGTACATACAGGTACACACACACACACAGACTACATGTATATGAGTACAAGGAGGGAGTGCTTGGGCAGGTTGGGATTCCACGTGGTGCCACTCAGAAGCGTTCTTTCGTGGGGGCGCCTGGGTGGCTCAGTGAGTTAAGTGTCCGACTCTTGATTTTGGCTCAGGTCATGATCTCGCAGTTTGTGAGTTCAAGCCCCGTATCGGGCTCTGTGCTGACAGCATGGAGCCCACTTGGGATTCTCTTTCTCCTTCTCTCTCTGCCCTCCCCCACTCATGCTCTCTTTCTCTCAAAATAAATAAATAAACTTAAAAAAAAAAAAAAGAGAAGCATTCTCTTTTGACTTGTGAAAGGTACCTGGGTAAACAGCCCCAGTGGGGCCAGGGTAGCAGAGAGCACTGGATTAGAATTCAAAACTCTTTTGACCCATGCTCACAATATCAAAACTCTTCTTGACTTTCCTTTTATCTTCTATGCAGAGTGAGAATCTACTAAAGATGATGTTTTCAAGGTACTTTTCTGTGAGGTGGGGTGGGGGTGGGCATTTACGAGGCTCTGGATTCGAATGGAAACGCTGTAAATAACTACATTCCGTCTAATACATTCTTCTGTCCATCCATCCATCCATCCATCCATCCATCCATCCATCCATCTATCCATCTATCCATCTATTCATTGGTTTAGTACCGCTGTGCTAAATCCTGTCTTAATCCCTGTCCTCGAGAGCTCACAGTCTTGTGCAAGAGTGTGTAATGGAGTACATATAGAATTGTGAAGGGCAGAGGGTCAAGGGCACAGTACACTTTCTACCCCTTACGGCAGTGGTGCTCCAGGTGTGGCATCAGCATCACCTGGGAACTTGTTGGAAATTCAGATTCTTGACTCCAGGAGACCTGAAATAGAGACTCTGAGGGTGAGGCTCATGATCTGTGTTTTGGAGAGTCCTCCAGGGCATTCTGGTGCCCACAAAAGCTTGAGAACCACTGCATTAGGGGCTTTGCAAAGGCTTTGCTGAGAAGGTGACATTCAAGTTAGCTCTGGAAGAATGAAGAGGAATTTCCCAGGATGGGGAGAGGGCTTCCCAGGTAGAGGCAAAGGCAGGGGGCATGAAATAGCATGATGCCTCAGACAAGGGGTAGTAGTCTGCTCTGACAGTGGCATTGGAAGAACGGTGGGAAAGTGAGCGGGAGCCACCATTGGACGTGACTTCTATGCCAAGCTGTGTAGCTGTCATCCTGTATGAAAAGGAGAGCCACAGTAGCAATTACTAGAAGGCAAGGACAAATGATTTATAAAAAAATTTTGTTTGGCATATTATTAATTGTCACATGGAACATCTCTTTTACCTAATAGCGTAAATGAGTATAAAATGTTCTCTATGCCATACTTGGAGCTCCTAAGAGGAAAGTGCTTTTTAAAATATGGATCTATAAAATTTATTTCAAGCCTGTTTCTCA